TTTTTTGGATTTTTTTTTTTTTTTTGCGGTTTTTTAGGGCCCCTCCCACCCCGGATCCGCCATTTTGGGGTTTTTAATTAATGAATCCGTTAATTACCGCCCCGGCAGCAGGGGAGGATGGCGTGGGAGGGGCTTAAGGAAGCCACGCCCCTTTACCACAGGCATGGAACGCGCGCGCAGCGGGGGTGGCCCCGCCCGTAAAGGGGCGTGGCTCCTCCCGCAGGACACGCCCCCTCCCGCCGAACAAAGGGCCGCGGCCCCTTTAAGCGCCGCCATGGCGGCCAATGGGCGCGCGCGCCGCACGGCGCGCTCTGATTGGCCGCGGGCCCGGCCCCGCCCCCCCCGGCCGGCGCTGTCCCGGTGCTGAACGCGGCCATGAGCGGCGGCGTCTACGGCGGCGGTGCGGGGTATGCCGGCGAGGACTGCCCCAAGGTCGGTGCCACCGCGTGTCCCCCCCCCCGGTGTCCTTGTCACACCCCCCCGGGCTGGCGAGGCCGCCGTGGCCCCAGCATGGCATCCCCATGGTGGTGACAGTGCCACCGTGTCCCCACGGGGGTGACAGTGCCACCGTGTCCCCATGGCCGCCGTGTCCCCAGCATGGCATCCCCATAGGGGTGACAGTGCCACTGTCCCCATGGCCACCCCCAGGGCCCCAGCATGCCATCCCCAGGGGGGTGACAATGCCACCGTGTCCCCACGAGGGTGCCATTGCCACCCTGTCCCCAGCATGGCATCCCCATGTGGTGACAGTGCCACTGTCCCCATGGCCGCCATGTCCCCAGCATGCCATCCCCAGGCGGGTGACAATGCCACCATCCCCACGTGGTGACAATGCCACGTCCCCATGGCACTGGTGACACTGCCACCATCCCCATGCGGTGACGATGCCACCATCCCCACGTGGTGACACTGGCACCGTCCCCATGTGGTGCCAATGCCACCATCCCCATGGCACTGGTGACAATGCCACCCTCCCCGTGGCGCCGGTGCCAATGCCACCCTCCCCGCGGCACCGGTGCCAATGCCACCATCCCAATGGCACTGGTGCCAATGCCACCCTCCCCATGGCACTGGTGACAATGCCACCCTCCCCACGTGGTGACAATGCCACCCTCCCCGTGGCACTGGTGACAATGCCACCGTCCCCGCGGCACCGGTGCCAATGCCACCATCCCAATGGCACTGGTGCCAATGCCACCCTCCCCATGGCACTGGTGACAATGCCACCCTCCCCACGTGGTGACAATGCCACCCTCCCCGTGGCGCCGGTGCCAATGCCACCCTCCCCGCGGCGCTGGTGACAATGCCACTGTCCCCATGTGGTGCCACTGCCACCGCGCCATCCCCAGGCGGATTTCCCCACCACGGTGGGGCTGCTGTCCCCGGACGAGGTGTCCCTGGAGCTGGACGGTGACAAGGACAAGAAGGCACTGGGGGGCACTGGGGGGCACTGGGGGCACCAGGGGGCACTGGGAGGCACTGGGGGGTCACCAGGGGGCACCGGGGGGCACTGGGGGGCGCCGGGGGGTCACCACAGGGTCATCTCCATGTCATCTCTGTGTCACCATGGGGTCACCTCTGTGTCACCTCCGTGTCACCTCTGGGTCACCGTGGGGCCACCACAAGGTCATCTCCATGTCACGTCTGTGTTACCTCCATGTCATCTCTGGGTCACCTCCATGTCACCTCAGTGTCACCCCAGTGTCACCTCTGGGTCACCCCAGTATCACCCCAGTGTCACCACCACGGTCACCTCAGTGTCATGTCTGTATCACTTCTGTCACCCCAGAGTCACCCCAGTATCACCCCAGTATCACCCCAGTGTCACCCCGGTGTCAGCCCAGTGTCACGCCGTGTCACCCCAGTGTCATCCCAGTGTCATCCCCACTGTCACCCCAGTGTCACCTCAGTGTCACCCCAGTGTCAGCCCAGTGTCACCCCAGTATCACCCCACGGTCACCCCAGTATCACCCCAGTCACCCCAGTGTCACCTCAGTGTCACCCCAGTGTCACCCCAGGGTCACCCCAGTGTCACCCCCAGTGTCACCCCAGTATCACCCCAGTATCACCCCAGGGTCACCCCAGTGTCACCCCAGTGTCACCCCTTGGTCACCCCCTGGCACACCCGGGGGCGGTTGGGCGTGGCCGGGGGCGTGGCCAGCGCGGTCCCCGCCCCGTGGTGGCCCTTGACGGGCGCAGCTTCGCCAACGGGCGCAGCACGGGGCTGGTGCTGGACTCGGGCGCCACGCACACCACGGCCATCCCCGTGCACGACGGCTACATCCTGCAGCAAGGTGACACGGCGGGGACACGCGTGGGACACGCATGGGACACGCATGGGACACGCCTGGGCATGGCGGGGACACACCTGGGACACGCATGGGCATGGCGGGGACACGCGTGGGACACACATCGGCATGGCGGGGACACCTGGGCGTGGCGGGGACACGCATGGGACACGGACACGCATGGGCGTGGCGGGGACACGCGTGGGCATGGTGGGGACACGCGTGGGACACGGACACGCATGGGCGTGGCGGGGACACGCGTGGGACACGCATGGGACACAGCTGGGCATGGCGGGGACACACCTGGGACACGCATGGGCATGGCGGGGACACACCTGGGACACACCTGGGCACGGTGGGGACACACCTGGGCATGGCAGGGACATCTGGGACACACCTGGGACACACCTGGGACACACCTGGGCATGGCAGGGACATGCATGGGACACGCATGGGCAGGGGAGGGACACGACACCTGGGACACTCGTGGGACATGCATGGGACACGCCTGGGACACGCATGTGACATGCATGGGCACGGCAGGGACACACCTGGCACACACACAGGCACGGCGGGGACACACCTGGGGCAGGGGAGGGACAGCTGGGACACACCTGAGCACGGGAGGGACACACCTGGGCAGGGCAGGGGCAGCTGGGACACACCCAGGACACACCTAGGCCACTGGGGACACACCCGGGACACACCCGGGACACACCCGGGGCACGGGGCACACACCCAGGCCACACCCAGCACACACCCAGGACACACCCAGGGCACCGGGGACACACCCAGGCCACACCTGGGGCACTGGGGACACACCCAGGACACACCCAGGGCACTCGGGACACACCCAGGCCACACCCAGGCCACACCCGGGGCATGGGGCACACACCCAGGCCACACCCAGGGCACTGGGGACACACCCAGGCCACACCTGGGACACACCCAGCACACACCCAGGCCACACCCATGACACACCCGGGGCACTGGGGACACACCCAGCACACACCTAGGCCACACCCAGGGCACTGGGGACACACCCAGGCCACACCCAGAGCACTGGGGACACACCCAACACACACCCAGGCCACACCCAGGGCACTGGGGACACACCCAGGCCACACCTGGGACACACCCAGCACACACCCAGGCCACACCCATGACACACCCGGAGCACTGCGGACACACCCAGCACACACCCAGGCCACACCCAGCACACACCCAGGCCACACCCAGGGCACTGGGGACACACCCAGGCCACACCCGGGGCACTGGGGACACACCCAGGCCACACCCGGGGCACTGGGGACACACCCAGGCCACACCCGGGGCACTGGGGACACACCCAGGCCACACCCGGGGCACTGGGGACACACCCAGGCCACACCCGGCACACCCCCAGGGTACTGGGGACACACCCAGCACACACCCAGGCCACACCCAGGGCACTGGGGACACACCCAGGCCACACCCAGGGCACTGGGGACACACCCAACACACACCCAGGCCACACCCGGCACACACCCATGACACACCCAGGCCACACCCGGGGCACTGGGGACACACCCAGGCCACACCCAGGGCACTGGGGACACACCCAGGCCACACCCAGGCCACACCCGGGACAGGTGAGCGCCGAGCGGGGACGAGCGCAAAGGCCCCGCCCCCACACACCCAGGCCACACCCAGGGCACTGGGGACACACCCAACACACACCCAGGCCACACCCGGCACACACCCATGACACACCCAGGCCACACCCGGGGCACTGGGGACACACCCAGGCCACACCCAGGGCACTGGGGACACACCCAGGCCACACCCAGGCCACACCCGGGACAGGTGAGCGCCGAGCGGGGACGAGCGCAAAGGCCCCGCCGCCCGGGCAGGTGAGCGCCCAGCTGTCCCAGGTGAGCGGTGGGCGGGGCCTGACGCCGGCCCCGCCCCCAGGCATCGTCAAGTCGCCGCTGGCCGGGGATTTCATCTCCATGCAGTGCCGGGAGCTCTTCCAGGAGCTCAACATCGACATCGTGCCGCCCTACATGATCGCCGCCAAGGTGGGCGGGGCCGAGGTGGGCGGGGCCAGCCAGAGAAGGCGGGGCCAACCACAACACCCCTCCCACTTGTGGGCGGGGTTATCATTAGCCCCACCCTTTGTGGTGGGCTCGTTTAGCTCCACCCCCTTCTAGGCAGACGAAAAGTTTTAGCTCCTCCCAGTTTGGGGTGGGCGTGTCCCTTAGCTCCGCCCCTTTGGGGTCACATCCCCATTGGGCAGCGCTATCACTTAGCTCCACCCCTCGAGTGACATCACCATTAGATTCCTCCTCCTACTCCGACCCAGGGGAAGCTCCTCCCCTTTTCCTTTGCATAATTACCTCAAGCCACGCCCCTGTGCGCGCTGGCCACGCCCCCACGGCCGCGCCCCTCCCTCCCGCAGGAGCCGGTGCGCGAAGGGGCCCCCCCGAGCTGGAAGAAGAAGGAGAAGCTGCCCCAGGTGTCCAAGTCCTGGCACAACTTCACCTGCAACGTGAGTGGGGGGATTTTGGGGGGGGTCCCTGAGTGGGGGGGATCCCCCTGATCCCCCACCCCCTTTTTTTGGGGTCCTGTCCCCCCCAGGAGGTGATCCAGGACTTCCAGGCCTCGGTGCTGCAGGTCTCGGACTCGCCCTACGACGAGCAGTGAGTGCCGGGACCCCCGGGGGGTCGGGGGGTGATGGGGGGGGATTTTGGGGTGGGGGGACCCCAAAACCGGCCGTTTTCACCCCAGGGTGGCGGCGCAGATGCCCAGGGTTCACTACGAGATGGCGAACGGGTACAACACCGACTACGGGGCCGAGCGGCTGCGCATCCCCGAGGGGCTCTTCGACCCCTCCAACGTCAAGGTTTGGGGGTCCGGGGGGTCCTGGGGGGGGGTTGGG